ATGATAATTATGTATTTTACCATAACCAATTTTATCTCATATTTTTTATTAATTTCATTACAAAATTAGTAAACATTATAAATTGATATAAATTAAAATAAAATATGAAAATTTTATAGGTTTTTTTACTTATTAATTACTTGTAAATGAATTATAAAAACTACTTATAATATTTGTTGAATTTCCTTGAAATATGTATTTGATATTCAATGAAAGTAACTTATGTTTTATACTTATTTCATTAAAATATACAATAATCGTCTTTAGTAACAAAATCAAAGATAGATTATTGGAAAGGAAACTAAATAAATTGTAAATGAACAATAATGAAATAGTTGTAAAATAATTACAAAATTTACATAAAATATTGTTGGATTTGCTCCGATTGGATATAGAATCAATGAAAGTAATTTATGTTTCAAAACTAGTTTCAAAATTACATTTCAAAATTCATTAATAATCCAATTCCAAAGATAGATTATTTAATAAAAAATAGCAATAATTGAAGAGAAAAACTACTACAAGTATTGTTGGATTTGCTAGAACTTTATTTAGAATAAATGAAAGTAATTTATGCTTTTGAACTAGTTTCAAAATTAAATTTCAAAATGTATTAACCTAATGCCAAAGATAGATTATTGAACAAAAAATAGCAATAATTAACCAGAAAAACTACTACATGTATTGTTGGATTTGCTAGAACTTTATTTAGAATCAATGAAAGTAATTTATATTTTGAATAAGTTTGAAAATATATATTTTAAAATTTATTAGAATCTGTTTAACAAATACAATAATGATATTTAATTATAATAATGAATCACTGTTAATTAAAAATATTCATAAATAATGTTGAAATGTTTTAAATATTTCAAGAAGACAATAAACTAAAATTATTATTTTATTCTTTATATTGTATAATATAAAAATGTATTTATTTTTTATATCATATTTTCATTAGATCATATTTCACATACATTAAAACCTGTTTTTGTACGGTAGATAGAGACGGCATAAAAATTCATATATCGCATAAAAAAAAATCGCATTAAAGGTTCTGTAAAATTGTAATTATAATCTTCACCAACTAAACACGTAATTTACGAATTTTATATTGATTTATATTTATCAAAAAACAGTAATATTCACATATTTTTGTAAAAAAAAAAATACAATAAAATTAAGTCGTATCAATTAATTAATTTTAACGTGTATTTGAAAGTAAATAACACTAGTAAAATCAATATCTTATTGTAATTGTAGTCAGTATAATTTATCGGTACACTAGTACCTAAAATCGATATATTACTTAATAAGTCAATATTTCATATATAATTTGATATTAGCATGACGCACGTATAAGAATGAAAAATGAATCTTACTTAAACATAAATATTGTATATACAATTATTGATAATAATGTAATCATTAGTTTCAATAATTACCAGATTAATTTTATGAACTCTTTCAAAATACCGATTAATAAAATTACATAATAATAAGACAAATAAATCAATATCTGCTAAATTTACACATTTATCTATATTATGCTGAAATATGTACATTCTTCATACGTCAGTTTTTACTACTTACGATAATATTTTGAACAGAAATTATAAACAAAATTTCGACATTATTGGCAACAAAAACAATACAAAATGTATGTAATTGTAATATAAATTGATTATTGTTAATGATTAAGTTTTCTTTTGGTATATAGTAGTTGATTTTTGTGATTTAGACTTTTTTTTAGAATTTATGAAAGCTAATAATTTAATTAATATTTTTAATTGTACAGACTTATTTAAAACCGAACCACCACGCAAATATCCGTACGAACGTACACTATTATGTCATTCATATTACTTATTATGGTTTCTGTATAAGTTAGATTGAGGAGTTTTTAGTTTTATTTGTAAAATTCATTTTATACATAAAATATTAATATCACTCGAACCGTGATATATAATGTGCATGAAAACAGATTTTGAGTATTATGTCAATGTCCGTCTGCAAATTGTACGTTGGTACGAACGTCAAGTATGTTCGTGTGAACAAAAAGACGTGCAGCAGTAAGTTAACATTTTATATAATATTTGCAGCGAAGATTTCCACGTAATGAATAAACCAGGCACGCAAAATGTAGCTTACCTCACCAGTAATCTGCAATTGCACACGGACTTACCATATTACAGTTACAATCCAGGCGTAAGTTGAAAATTAATAAAATGTCTGTAGATTTAATTTAAATATCGATTTCAGGCGAATCTTTTACATTGCATTGTGCAAGTTCCAACTAAAGGCGGCGAAAACATGTTGACCGACATCTATTACGTAGCGGAAAAGTTGCGAGTTGAAAACAAAGAGGTTTTCGACATCCTCACACAGACTGACATCAACTGGTTGGACATCGGTGAAGAAGATGGCATCACCTTCCACAAAATCCTCAGAACGCCGATGATTAGGTAAGTGTTAAAGATGAGAATAGGTTCAAAACTAATCTGATTAATCCATCAATAATAGCTTGGACAAAGAGGGAAAAGTGTGTGGCGTAAGACATTCGATCCCGCAGAGGGATTCCCACTTTACAGTTGAGTTGGAGAACGTGAAACCTTGGTACAAAGCGTTCAAAACTTTCGTGACTATGGCCAATGCACACGCGGCGATGTTCAAATTGAAGCCAGGTAATTGAATAGTTAACAGTTGGAAAAGAACCAATTAAATCTCTCGTTAATTTCAGGTGATATTTTGGCTTTCGATAATACCAGGTTAGTGCACGGAAGGCTCGGATACGAAGACACGGATGATATTAAGAGGCATTTGGTGGGTCACTTCATCGATTGGGACGAGATTTACTCGAGGATGAGAGTGCTGAAGAGGAAATTGGGCAAAGCCACATTCTACTGAGTAGGATGAACAAAAGAAAACTCGCATCATATTTTCTCAATTTCCATCGAATCGAAAATCAATATTTATTTGTTAGTTATTACTTCAATTTTTTTTTCCTCTGTTTCCTTTATTTTTTTTGAATGGATTACATTTACAATAAAATAGCATTCACTTCATCAACCAATAAATCCTATTTATATCTTATTTCTTTCTTACGTCTTATCACCGACTCGCGTCAAACAAATGATTCCGTAACATAAACGCACGTCTGGGAAATAAAACTCTGTACAAAATATATTTATATCAAAAAAAAAAGTAAAATGAAAAAATAATAATAATACAAAACTAAAATAATATGAACGAAATCATGCATATAGTTCAGCGTTTGTTTATAATATCAGTCAATTGTTTCAATACTTAGCGTAAATATATATTTTTTATACATTAGTATACACAGTGTGGATGAAATCACAGATAGAAATGAAAGAAACGAAATGATTTCGCGCAAATTATAAGAAAAAAAAATTGATATTGATACAAACAAAATAATAAATTGATACAGAGATAGAGGAGGTGGAATAGAAGAGAGAAAATCATGAAGGTTGTCCTTAATTAATCAATTTCTTTTTATACATTGTACGGTAATAAAATAAATCTTTCGTTATTCCTTTCCTCACTTACCGACTATTTAAAACATTTGCGCTTAAACGTTTAATCCTAAGTTTAGTTCCTTAAAAACATTTATGACTAAAGCCTTATTACATCAACAACAAGATATTATTTTTAATTATAATTATTACTGTTTCTCCCATCTTCTCCCTGTTTCATCTAAACGGCGACGGAAGAGCTGTTTGATATTTCCGAGCTCGTGTTTGGCGTCGGCGATTCCAACGTGGTTATTCTCTGCTGCAAGTTTTGAACCTAAAACAGAAGAAAGTTATGTTGTTTGCTATTTATGTTGTTTCTCTTGGCAAGTTCAAGAAAATTTAGTAGAAGTAAATAAATAAAAAAAAAAAGCAAGAACCTGAGCCGTGTGTCTCTCCACCATCACCATCATCTGCTGCTCCATCTTCTTAAATCTAGCTTGATATTTTTTGTTATTCCTATCTACCGTTTCGGCCAGCACACTTTGAAAGGAAGGAAAAAACAGAAGAATTAGTTAGTTATTACGATTTAAAATGTTTTCTTGGGAAAGTTAAATATTTGTCACAACATATTTATATCTTACCTTTCTGAAAATGTTATTTAACGTATTAATGTAGTTATAAACATATCGAACATTTTCAATTAATGTTAATTACTTAAGTATGTACATTTATTTATAAATTGTATTTGTCATGAAAAACCTCTTATAAGTCAATCATGTAAACTTATTCCAATTTATTTTTTTTGTTTTGTTTGTAAACTTATTTTTGAAAATAATGTATATTTAAATTAAAAGTAAATATCATTCTACTTTTGTATTATTCTCAATTTATATAAAAATTCACTTAACGTACATTTTTTAAACACATGTTCGATAATACGTACAAAATTATGTAAAATCTTCTAACCAAACTACCATATTAAGCTTCTGATTAAGTCAGATTGAGGAATCATTTACTTTCATTTCAAATTTAGTTTACCAGATAAGCATAAGTTTAATAATAATTAATAAATATTCTGTTAAAAAGAGTGTATTTTTTGAGTAAAAATATTGCTTAAGAAAGGCGAAGTTCATTCAATTAATTAATCATTGCTAATTACAAATATGTTCGAAATTGTGTTCTATTTTCGTTTAATTAAAATACCTAATTTTAGACAAACCATATGGATTAATGCGTGCAACAGTTAATTTAGATATTCAATTAAGATCTAAATCCGTCGTGAGCATCTTTAAAAAAATATGCGTGTAGATGGACACTAATTGATAAAGTGGAATAAATGCAGCAGGCAAAGTCTCGTCTGCTAAAAATAGCGAAATCTAAGAAAAGCAAACTGCTCTGAGAATAATAAACGATGCCTATGTTTTCCCGTCTTTCTAGACTAAAAAAAATACATAGTTAAAATATAACAAAAAATATATGTGTTTCTGTAGAATATTTTAATATTTGTGAAAGGGTTCTCCCATAATTGAAAACCCTTATTTCCAGCGTCTTGTGCATTGTACGATTGTGAGTAACTTTTCTCGTTAAAACTAATCTACAAAAACGAAATAAAGTTATTTTTTGTTTTCATATACATAATACGTTCAACAATGCGAAAAATAATTAGGGAGTTACTTTCTTTAGAAATTGCCGCCTTTTGAATTTTAACTCTGTGTTCTGCTCGAAGTTTATAATTTAGAAATATTAGAGAAGACTTCTCTTCGTTATAACGAACAAACAAGTGCAAATACAGTAAGACCTCGTTTATCGTTTAGGATCCATTCCTAGACGAAACAGCGTTAAACGAAGTCTTCGAAATGAGTTCGTTATATGGAATCAGTGTAAATCGAGGAAATGCTAAACAAGGTAATACTGTTCTTGCAAGGAACATATTTGATAATTAAGTTAAGAAATGAGATGCCATTTCTAACTTTACCAAAGAAAGCTGCATTTTACAGAAAAAATAACAATATACATCAAACATATCAAACTCAAAGACTAGAACTTTGGAGATAATGGAGGTTTGAAGAAACTGTTTCCTATTCCAGAAACTCATGAATAATGAATAATTACACAGTTTTGAAAGATATATATGACCAATTAATTCTTTAATGGAAATATACATTTAATTGAAAATTTAGAATTGTCGAAGTTAAATAGAAAGTTTTAATAATATTGTTGGAACTTGATATTATATTTATACTTATGTAATTTTCGTTTATAAAATCACATAACTGGAAATCAACTATACTATATACTATAAGTTCATTGATATCATTTTACAAATTTACTTTTTATAAATATATTTTGCTTTGAAGGAAAATTGATAATCATAAATTATTACTTATATTTAGAATATACGAAGTAATACTTAAAAGCGAAACCAATTTATATAATGTTTTTTCTCTCTAATTACTTTTTCAGACAACAGTACGTTGTGATAAGATAGAGTGTATTAAATTCACAAAAACATATTATATTGAATTAATTGGATAAGTTAATAAGTAATAATTAAACTTCATAGAGATTTAAATATGTTAAAAGAAATATATTAATAACTAATTGATTGACAGATTAATTATTAATATGTATTTAATATTCATAATATAAGAAGTTGTATTAAATCGCTTTTTTACCGTAACGAATCATTTGTTAACGAAGCTTTAACAAACCTATTGTCAGCGAAAACAACATTTTTTGCTTATTTCATACAAGTTATTCATACAAAGGGGCATCAATGTCCGATAATAATAAAAGACCTTAATTAAATTATAGGAAAAAAAAAAGAAGTAATTCAATTATGAGCATAACTTCGAATTACATATAAAAAGATCCGTGCTAGGTTTCACGTCGACAAGTGTTCTACAACTGACGCATGTCGCTGAATTAATTTTCCATTTGCAGGAAGTGCGCTCATGTTTTCTTCTTGCTTTTTTCGTCCGCTTCGTCATCGAGGAGGAAAGGAACTTGTGTGAATCGCGACATGTGCATGGAACTTGGAACATATGGCCCATCTTATATTAAACACGTGAATCGGCGTATGGTCGTATACAAATTATGAATTAAAACATGTTTTATATAGCAAATCCTTATATGAACGCATATTCTGATATTTGTATGCAGTTTAAAGGTCCTTAATTAGTTCGGTTTCAAACAGACTGACTTTACGGACAATGGGAGGTGTTACTGTACGGTTCGAATCAAAATCCCGACAGTATTTTTTCTTATTTGCTATATACGTAAAACAAATTAATTTAAAAAATGAGCGTTATTACTTACTACGTGAATAAAAAAAGGATTACAAAAGTCCGCTAAAATGTTCGGGATTTTTATTGTCGGGATATCGATATAGACCCTTAATGTACATATATGTACATATGTACATATAGATAAAACGTAACTTTTATTACCCGATTTCGCTTTCATACTATTAGACAATTGCTACCAATTATTTCAAAATAGATGAATATTCACACAAGACGGTATCTTAAAGTTTAATTTACATCTCTGTGACTTAATTAGTGTATAGTTTAGATGAAATTAAAAGTCATAGCATAAAATAAATATTTGAGGCCTACCTGTTTGTATGATTGAGATCATGGACAATTTCTCGTCCTTCCAGAAGTCGAGCCTCAGCGTTCTTGGTGACCTGTTCGAGAGTGGCAATAAGCTCCTGAAGGCGCACCTTCAACCTGGCTTCTCTGGCCAAAGCCTGCATCAGCTCTAGTTCAATACCTTGGGCGTGATCGGCATCGGTATAACCTTTATCCTGCAAGCACAAGAAAAAAACGAATCCAATCGAAACAAGTCGATAAAATTAGATTAACCGCACTGCTTTACCTTGTTCTGAGTGGCCAACGCGAGCAGCGCTTCGGTGTCCTTAAGCTGTCCCTGGAGGTTCTTCAGAGCCGCACCTTGGGCCCTTTGCTGCCCATCGACGTACTTCAATTTCACCTCGAGCGCGCTCTTCTCCTTCTCCAGCACGAAAAGCTTAGAGAGCAAATCCGTTTTATCCTCGCGCAGTCCCATCAATTCCTGCAGACAATTATAATTACCGCATTACCAATTCAATCTGATGCATTTATAGCTTTTTCAGACCTGCATCAGTACGGCCATCTCCAAATCAATTTTTCTCGCCTCCTGGTTACTCGCAGCGCGTATTGGTGGATTCTCGACTTGGGTCGATTCCAGCATTACGTAAGTGCCTTGGATGTTGCTGCGTTCCTCCTTTAAACGCGACACATGCTCGCGTAATCTATTTTCATGGTCCGTGTTCCAAAGCTCTCCGCTAAAAGTGCACGATGATGTTAATGTTAAGACAACATAAAATCAAATACAGATTACATAAAAAATAATATTATTTCAATAGCTTTTTAAAACACTAAATTGACTATTAACTATTTGTTGAAATTAAAGAATTTTGTAAATTATTTTCCACTTATAAAATTGTTACACTTATTAAAACTAATTGGTAAACTACTACTAAATGTGGTAAAAAAATATTTTTAAACTGACAATAATCATTAAATATTCGAAATATTGTTTTTAATTTACGAAGGCAATAAAAATTGAACTCTTTTATTCTAGTTGCAGTGATGATATCGACACTTAATAATCGAGCCTCCTATTTATACAATGAATGCTTCGTTAAAACAATTTTAGGGGTCGCGAAATATGCTCATTTTAATAATTCCATTATTGCGGTCGCTAGAAATAAGTGATTCTGTAGAAAAAAACTTTAAATTTCGTTATAAAATTAATATAGACTATTCAGTGTATAACAAAATAAATTACTAGAGATAGATATAAGATCAGTTAAAATGTTGATTTATGTTAAGAGATGAAGAGTTAGTATAATATGTAAATGATAGGTTAACAAACATAATTCGTTCAATTTAAGAACCGGCTTAAGCTAAGCCCACCAACGATAGCTTACAAAAGTAACGTCAATAGGTTTTCGAAAAAGTGTTCATTGTCTGATTTGTTCGTTATCTGATCACCAAATATGCGAATTCGAGTAATACTGCACAATTCTTTTTTTAATCATTTTTATCAATATATATTTCAAATTAAGTTCAATATCATGATTATAATTATGATGATGAATAGCAAATTTTGACTTTGAATATGTACTTTGTCATATTGCGAAGGAGCTGTTTGTCAAACGACTACGGAAGCATTTTCAGATAAATCATGCATATAGATAGAATTTATGGAGAATCCGCTGCTTTATATGCAACAGTTGCAATTTGGGTTTCCGAATTTAAATATATATAGGATGTAACAACAAAAACAGTTATACAACGGAATACAATCATTAACGGAATCTCAATTAAATTGCGAGAGTAAGCAAAGACTCGCATAAAATTATATTTTACATAACCATATGGATATAACTGCTTTGAACATAATATTATGGTTTGTTGCAATGTATTTTTCCTTATTATAACAAAGAACGGATGGAGCAAGTAAATCATTGCAGCTATTAAAGGATGTTTTAAAAGTTTGAACTATACTTATTTTACTGAAGGTATGTGTGATCATAATACTTTTTCGTTTTTAAAATAATAACGATGTTCTTATTGTGTTTCACATCTACAAAACATTTATGTCGTCAATAGTTTGTAAACAAATATAAATGTTCTAAATGTATAATCATACCATTCTGATGTTGGACTGTTGTACACATGGTTTTGCCAGGGCGATAGAAGAACGTCGGTACTTTGGTAGGTGTCCAGATGTATCAACAATTGTTTGGCAATGGATTCTGCGGCTGCACGGTTCTCGACGGATTCTGGAGGAACAAATTAAATAATTTATCGATCACCGCCGTGCATGGAATATATCGTAATTGCTTTTACCCGGCGTCGGATCAGTCATAGCAACTTCGGTCTCCAGCAGCGCGAGTAGAACGTCGTAGGCTTCAATCGCCCTGTCCGTGACACCCAGTGCCAATCTCAAAGCAATCGCATTTGACTCGTATTTGCCGCACAATAACGCCAACCTGTCACAATGAGCCTTTGTCTCCGTGAGCGTCAGAGCGAGCACCGAGTTCTGAGACCTGGCATGCTCAAGCTTCGAGGATATCCTTTTGAATTCGATATCGACTGCCTGCTTCTCGCTCTGTGCGTCGCACTGCCTCAAGATATCTCCTACGATATGTTCTGCAACGACGGTCGAAAGATCCCCGTTGATCAGGTCGTTGGGATTCACCTCCCTCTGGTCCGTCGCCCTTTTCAATTTGATCCTCTCGGCCATCTTCGATACCGGCATGTTGTTGCTGGCCTGGTACCCGTTCCGGATGTTCGCTTTATGTATTGGCACGATGTTGCTGTACTTGATGTCCGCTTTGGTGTCTATTAACTTCGGCTCGTAATCGGTCTCGATATGGGACTCCGGTGAATCCAGGCATTTGTTATCGGAATCGGAGCATCCGTTTTGCAGGGTCGCCCTTGCCAATTTCGCCTCGGACTCCATCAGTTGGGCTTTCAAACTGACGATTTCCGCGCGTAATGGATCCACAATTTCCGAATACGGAGATATTTCCGCGTTCGTCTCATGATGAGATGATGTGAGCTTCGGTTCAGGAAGCTCAAGTGGACTCTCTGACAACTAGAATTCATACATAGTTAACATCAATTTACATTCACACATAAAGATACACAGTTTAGATATACAGCAAATAGATAATTATAAAGTAATTTATCATAAACAAATAACACCAGTCACCAGACAGTTATACAGTACCTAGACAATGTAGAATACCAAAAACTATTAGACATAAAGTATAACAAATTTAATTAGCCCATTATATTGAATGGAAATATGATTGTTTGTTGGATTGTTTATATTAATGAACATAATAAGTGAAAATATATGTAGGTTAATGGAATGAATAGTCTTGGTTGATAGCCTTTGTTAAATTCCACACGCCATTATATGGAATACATAGGGATTATTATATTATGCTGAAATTCTACTTCATAATGAAATTTTGCGCTAACATATGCACTAAATATACTATGATGCTGACAACACGGCATAGGTAGTCGAATTACACCTATTTCAGAAGGTAACACAGAAGCACCCGCTACAATTACTGAATAGTATTTGAATTGCAACGATTCGCTGGTTAATAATAAGCCTAGTAAAGCTCAAA